TTAAAGTTAAAAAGTTATATGTCTAGGTTTTGTTAATTTTGTCTTCAGATCATGTCTTAGACCTGTTTGATAAACTAATTAAGCCAGTCCTATTTTTATGGTGCTGAGGTGTGGGGTTTTTTGTAAGCAAACCAAACTGAAAGGGTGCATACAATGTTTTTGCAAACGAACATTAGGTGTAAAAGTAAGCACACAAAAATGATTTTATATACGGCGATCTTGGAAGAACGGATCTATATAGTCTTAGAATTGTGTACATTATAAAATATTGGTTGAAAGTAACAAGCAGCCTGAAAATAAATATATAAATTATATATATAAAATGATGTTAAATGACATTGAAAATCAACCTCAAAAATCAAATTGGGCTTCATGTGTTAAGAATATTTTATCCAGACTAGGTTTTTATCATGTTTGGCTAGCGCAGGGAGTAGGAGATTTTAACATATTTGTACAAATTATTAAGCAAAGAATAAAGGATGTTTTTGTACAAGGATGGCAAAGTAGAATTGATATTTCAACAAGAGCTACTTTTTATAAATCTATATGTAGTTTTGGTTTTCAACCATACCTTAAAATACTTAATGTTAAAAAATATAGAAATGCATTATGTAGATTGAGAGTATCCTCACATCGATTAAATATCGAATGTGGCCGATGGAATAGAACTGTAAGAGAAAATAGACTTTGCATATCGTGTAATAAATTAGAAGACGAATTTCATTTCCTTTTTGAGTGTAACATGTATGACACAATTAGAGATAAATATATAAATAGATACTACAGAGTTCGACCAAGCATGTTTAAAACCATGGAATTGTTTTCATCAGAAAATGTTAAAGTAATAAGAAATTTATCTGTATATGTATACAAAGCATTTGAAATAAGAAGATGTAGATATAATATTTAGATAGTATAGTGTTACATTCTTTAATAATTTTATTGATTGCACATGGTTGTACTGCGGCATATACAAAGGAAATATATATTTACATATATTCATATTTTCAATCCAACATGCTGAGAGAAAGATAGCTAACAAGTATGTGTTAAATTTCATGAAAAGTATAACATTTATTTGTTGATTTTAATCATGGTTTTAATTAAATTTTTGGTTGTATATATGACCTTTAAACGCCATATTTATCTTAAAAGTTAAATGAAAAAATACGCAGCACCGCCATGTATTTGTAAATAGAAAATAGTAATAAGTATTAAGTAATAGTAATAATGTATTAGAAGTAAAAATATCATGTGTGGTACACAAATGTATTTATTGTATGTATATACGTACGTATGTACGCACGCAGCACGTGCGTACGTAAGAACGTACTGACATGTTAGAAAATAGTTAATACAAATAATACCAAAAAATAAGAAGATGCAAAATAATGTTTCGTACTTAGTTTATGTTTTATATCAATCTTGATGAACATTTTAAGATTCAATTATGAACAAAAACAAATATTTAAAATAGTCACTTTTTAAGAAAAAGTCTGACACATTCTTTTGTATTAGATATTTTGAAATGTAAGGGAAGTAATTACAAATCAAAAGCATTTAAATCTTGTAAGAGTAGTGTATCCTGTTTCTTGCATCTTACTATTTTCACATATATTTTGTTTACTTTACTGACAGATTTATTGTTGACTAATGCCAATATTAATTCAAAAGTGTATATACCAAAATGTGACTATGAGCTATAATGGCTTTGTCAATTGTGTATTGTGAGATTTATGAAAGAATAAAGCTTCTTCTTCATATTACAAAATAATAATCTTACCTTTACCCTCTTTATATCAATATATATATTGACTTGAAACTCTCACAGGTACTTTTAACTGGCCTTATTACATAATGAAACCCCACGAAAAAACGAGAATATTAAAAAAACACCCGATTTGTGCACTTATGAATTACAAGAGTAGAGCGGTTGGTATATTTGAATGGCTTCGGAATGCATTCTTATACATGATAAAGTACATAAATGAAAGGTTTCTTGTGATTTATATTGATAAATATTGAGTTATAAACTGATGTTTGGATAGAAAGACAAAAAAACATGTAGGTAAGATAGTTACCGCACTCGGAATAGGTCTGCATAGTATTTACAGACCCGGTGGCCTTTTAAAAACCTCGATCGCTACGCTCTCTCGGTCTTCAAATTGCCACCCGGGTCTGTAAATACTATGCAGACCTATTCCTCGTACGGTAACTATTACATCGGTATATTTAAAAGTTACATAAATTACCATTTTAATAAGCTATATCATGATATTTAAACGTCCCGGTTGAATGAACAAACGTTCGCGTGCCAATCTGTTTGACACTTGCCGCCTGACCAATCCAGTTATTTAAAGGAAGTGTACAATACAAATTGTGTGTAATATTATGTAATACAGGGGTAATAAAATTTTATCTTTAACACCCTGCTGTTTTAATTTAAATTACTGATGGAAAAGTCGTCTAATGATACCTTAAACAAACCCATGTGTGTGCCCGTTTTGACCATTGAAATTATTTCTCCCGCACATTTTCGTAGATAGGTTAAAAAATAAATTCACGTTGTCAGTACTTACCGCCTTAAGTCATCCCAAAATTAATATTTTTGGGTGACACAACATGAAATCGCATCTATTAAAGCCTTAAAGTATGATAAACTGTAGACATCGTTATTGCGTTTTGCCCTACGCAGAATGCGCATGCGCGAAATGCAACATTCGTTGCTATGGAAAATCGTATTGTAAAAGGGTCTATAATAAAACAGTGGTGACAAGCTCGTTATGGTTAATTGCATTAATTATATCCCGATTAACCTGCCAATGTGAAAACCCAGCTTGAAGCTTTCCAATGCACCCCTCCTCCCCCTGTTCATCTCAGCCTTGCTTAGATAAGTTCGTATCCGTAGATCTGCCATTTTGACATGTAATTCAGTTAAAGATTGACAAAAGATTAAGTGGAAATTTGCTAAATTTAAAAATCCACATGCAAGTTTCAGGCCATGTTAAGTTTCTTTCTCGGGCTTCCTATATGTAGAATACGTATCAAAATCTCACAGTTTTGAAAGGCTCGTATATGGATTTATCTATGACAACAATCTGATTTTGAATTGTGATCAGATAAACAAAATACCTAATTAGAAAACAAATCATTTGCAAACTTTAAGTTGTATATATCTGTTGTCGTTGGCTAAAGAGACTGTTGTATTTTTACTCTAAAAATGTACTTACCAATTGAATGATTATTGCAGAAAATAGGGTTCTTATGTACAGTGAAACAAACAATTTTATCTTTTTCGACCAGGCAATAGACACTTGTTATACAATTTAGACACTTGATATGCAATTTAGTATATCAATGCATTATATAAAAAATTCAAATCTTTACTTTTTTAGGTGTAATTTTGATTAGATCATTTATTTACTTTAATGTATCTGCGACATGATTACGTATATTTATCTGTCTATCTATGTCACTTTACCATTTTATGTTGCATTTTGCTTGAGTCAGTGCCAGTGGCGTGGATTGTAGCTTTCGTGTCCAGTACCAGGAAGCAACCAGATAAACAGACTCAATCAAACCGAACTTGCAACATTTTCAGTTTTGATCGCTTAGGAATTCTTTATTTTTCTCTATTCTAGGTATATGACAGTTAAGTTAGCGACGCGGGAACATTGGAGAATTTCGAGAAGTTACGAAAATCGCTAATATTTTCTCTAGCGTAAATATAAATAAACCTGTCATTAAAATCTACTCTTGCATGATTCTCTAATATTTCCTCACGCAAAATGTCTGGAATTTAAAATTCAATCCAAACCTATTTAGATATAGAATCATAACTAATTAAAGGAAATATTTGTTGTGTTAAACCAATATTTGTCAAGGAGCACATTCAATAAAGAACCAGACAAGGGTTTCGATTAGAACATCACTAATTCCTAATCTAGTAAGCAAGATTAATTTCATATAAAATCTCATTTTGCTTCATAGTTACAATTCATTTTGGACTTGAAGATAAAATGGCGATGGTGTTAAAATTTAAATATAGATACGTTAACTTGTGTACAATATATATTTCAATGCAGGATATCATCTAGTTTCCAACACTTAAAGTTTAAAATGTGAGTCAAATAAATTGTATTGCTTTTGTAAAATAATGATGAAAATAAAATAAATTAGCCGTAAGAAATGTTGCTAAGGACCTGAAATAATATATAGTGATTTTACAAAAGTATATCAAGCTGTTCAAGGTGTCTTAACAAATAATTGCCAAATAATTTAAGTTCAAAATATAAGTCATTTTAGTCACGCACCTGTGATCTTGTTGCTCTTCTTTTTCATTGCTTAATTCTATATTAAACAAAAGATTAATAGAAAATGAAAGGTGTGTTTTTAGATATACGTATTGAAAGAAATTGATATGCATAAAACGTACACAAAGAGATAATTAACCTGTTGTTATTAAACAGAAAATATCTACGGACTAAAGCACAAAAATGTAAGCATGTTGAAAAATATATAAAGACACTATTTTAAGAATTATTCAATATTTTTACCTTTTTTATTGTAATATCGATATTTTTATTCCAACTACTGTTTCACATGTAATTTTCGTGTTTATTCAAATAAATAAATGGAATAAAAGGTAAACTTATAATAATAATAATAATAATAATAATAATAGTAGTAATAATAATAATAATAATAATAATAAATGTTTTATTATTAGCACTTGGATGCAATTGAACATAAACCTGAAAAAACTATATAATTTTTTTTTTAAGTGCAGTTAATAAAATCAAGTATAAATTGAATAAACTTTAAATTATAATTAAATGAAACTTAATGTAAAGATAAATAAAAAACGGAAGATGTAAGAAACGTAAAACATGTATCTGTAGTGATAAATCATATATGCTGGAGATATTAAGTAGATAGTCTTGTGATTTAATGCCACAGAACAATAGAGTTATCTTATAACATGGTGATATCATTAAAGGATGTTTATTGGGGTCCAAAGATTGTTTGTCCTGCTCGCAGTTTGTGGCTTTGGGATACACAAAGGCTCTTGTGCGGACGGAAATGATGCAAAGAATCTTAGAAAACAGCTATTTGTAACTGATGGTTACGACAAAAAGGTCAGACCTTCCAACAACCAATCTGATCCAATAGGTATGAACAATTTTCTATTCTAATTTCTGTAGAATAGTGCACTTGGGTTGTTTGTTTCTTGAATCATAATTTATACATTGTATATACCTTTGCCTGTTTATTAATTGACATTTACAGTAATGGACATTGGAGTAACTCACTTTTCTTTAATGACCTGAGTTCTGAGTTTTAATTTACCAACATATTTAGCAAACCATAAGACATTGAGTACCTTTGTTTTGGTCATTGGGTTTACTTTTATATGTATCTACATGATCACTTCTGTGTTCTACTTATTTCATCTATGGTTACCATAACAACTGTAAAAGAATTTCACTTGGCGGGGATTCATTTTATGTACAATGTCTCGTTTAAAGTTACACGACGGCGGGGCTAAGAGTGAGGTTTGGTGCACCATTAACCGGTTTAAACTCCCTAGCAGTGCTTATGCTGCTGACCGTTCCAAGGAGGCGCCCATCTGTGTTCCTTAGATGCATGTCTTTGTTGTTTCATATTGTTGTAATGATACTTTTGTTTGTGTCCTTTGCTGTTTTCTCGTTTGCTTTAAGTATCTTCACTTTTGTCCCTATTTTTTTCTATTTTTCCCCTCCCTTCCCTGAGTCTCGAGGTCCCTTCCCTTTTCCCTTTATTTGGCATGTTGGTCAATCAATTACTTGTTTCCTTTGATTTCCTTTTCGATCACTGTTGTTTCTTTTTTGGTGTATTTTATTATTTTCCTGGCCGTGCTCTGTCATGCGCCCTGTCCTTTTTGTTTGGGGTCCTCCGGGGCTCCTTGTCGCTGGTTCATGTTGCTTGGTCGTTTTGGGGTTGCGTTTATTGAACGCCGCCTTTCCTTGTTGATCTTGTATATCACATTTTATTTAATCAGTTTGAACCTGATTTCACTGAGCAATTATTATAAGAAGTACAAACAGATAATTATTGAAGATCGAAGAGATGGGACGTTATGCGATACATTGTCAAACAGTTGTCTGAATACTCCTGTTTGAATAGGTTAATTTTATCAATCTAATCATATGCTAATCAAATGCTCGAAACTGTCAAGGGAAATGCCATTAAGATTAAACTGTATTATTTCGTTTAATACTGTTTAGAGGTATACGTGAGTTTGTATTTGCTGTCAATCAATGAATTAAGTGAAACAACAGAGACATTGAAGACAACAGCTTATCTTTGGATCACGTGGTATGATGAATTTCTACAGTGGGATCCATCAGATTACGGGGGAATCGATTATTACCATTGGCCGCAGGTAAAGTTGTCTCTAGCAAGCCTGTTCAATTATCAGAATATAATAGAACGTAATATAATTGGACTTTGGTTCCAATATAAATTATGCATATCCAACAGACGTATGACAAGGTTTAAATACTTAATACAATAGTCTGTATATTGATCTAAAAATAGATGTAAGTAGCGAACGCATGAGAAATTTGATAATTATGAGACAATTAATTACATTTTTTTTCGGTACAAGCGACCCGGCAAATACGTATTTTACTATTCAGACGCAGTCCACTTCAAGTTTTCATTTTTCGTCAGTACTGCTGTTTATTACACACCCGTGTCGACCCCGTAAAAATGGTATTGCACGACCGTGCACATATTTTGATGTGGCGTCATTTGCGTTATATGAAAATAGTGTTAAATGTTAGCGTTATTCTATAAGCGCGTCAATGAAAAATGGTTCTTTTTCACTTCAAATGGTCTTTATTTTTGGTATGTGATAAACAGAATATTAGATTCCTAAATTTATTGACCTCGTTGAATAAAATAATATTATGCTCGCCACAGACTCGCATCATAAAATTTTATTTTCAACTCGTTTAATGAATTCAGTATTAAACTTACACTTATCATCATCTATTATATGCTGTAATATTCATCAGGGGGTCGAACGTATAGCGGTGCGATACTCCTTTAAGCGAGGTGATTTTATGCGATACGCCCTAATGGCGGATTTACCTTTGTAAACACACGTCAGAGTGAGTGTTTTTTATTAAGTATTTCATAAATCTTCGATTACAATTGCATATTTTGTATTGAGGATGTGAAGATAGGACCGACACACATTTCATCAAAATTACAGAGGCCGAAATTCATAATTAAAAAAAGTTATTGAAGGTAAACTGACATCAACTAATTTTGGGTCGGTGAATAAAATCGCTTAACGCAAGCTTATATTAATATAGTTAATTTCTTTTTCTTCTTTATACTATAAGAGTAATCATAATTGAGTTGCATAGCAAGTACCTTTGTGCTCCTATATACATAGGCGCCTACTGGTCAAAATATTTAAGTGTACGCTGGATTTTGGTGCGATAAAATAACTGTACGCTGTTAAAGGTTCGATAATTTTCATTATCACATCTGTTGAACATGTTTTCCTATGATTATACTAAATATCTACCATATATGTGCCCGTTTCTGGAATTCTGAAATCTTCTTCTTTACTTAGAGATTTATTTGAAATAAAAGTTTTGTATAACCATCTATATAAGTGTTTGAACTTAATTTGAATAATTGATATTAATTATCGTGTGATAATTAGGAGTTGGATAAAAGTAACCTTTACTCTAAGATCTTAGATAAAAAGTAGGAATTTGACCAAAATATGTAAGAATGAATTTAAAAAAAAACAATTAAGAAATCTTGTATAAATTATCTCACTTTCAAAGCAGAACATTTCAGAAAAACAGCAGTTAATATGTCATATAAGGGGTGTCTTACATCATGAGGTTCTAAGATCCTTTGTACATGCTGCTGTCAAACTTGATATTTTTCATATTATAAATAGAATTGAACATTTCAAACAACCTATAAAATACAGTGAAAGTACATTTCACTGCTGTTCTAGAGATAGAGACTAAGAACCATGTGGTAAAAATCTTTAGGTGGTAAAAAAATTCTTTTCTAAAATGTTGCTTAGAACAGGCTATTTTTGTAGTGCACATATTGTGGCCTGTCAGGAAAAAACAGAAAACTTCAATTACAAACTTCAGTCAGACATTTGACACAAAACAGCTCAGTGTCTTTCTTAGGAACAGCTGATGCTTACTTGTGCCAAATACACAGTTGTAAATGTCGCAGAGCAATTAAAACATAACAACTTGATTAGCAAACAAAACTACTACGAGATAGGTAAAGTACCACAAGTACAAAAGCTGACACATGTGCAAATAAACAAAAAGCTATTGAGTATATAATATAAGATTGAGTCACACTGGTTATGGAGTAGTATATTAATTACACATGGGTTTGTGGGTTACAGTTAAAATATCATCCCAAGGAAAATACTGTTAGCCAAGGGAAACAGTAATTTTAGGAGGGTTGATATATTTACTGTTGTGTGCTTGTGTGTTATCTATTTTGTTTCCCGAACAGATACTGTAATATATATTATAGCATAAAATCGGCTATTTTTCCCTCTTTTGCCCATGTTATAACGGGACTAAAACCATGTGTTAACATAGTCACGCGCTTTTGTTATAGCCCGGTTTCACCTATGCGCAATACATACAGGGCCCAGTAAACAAACAAACAAAAAAATGACGATTTGGCCTGTTTCCGCTCTTGTTATATTGAAATCTATTGATTCGAGGGCCTCAGTCGGGCATATTCAAGTAATTATGCCGGAAAAACGGCGTATAGACATCGGTGCTAATCTTGGTTGTCGCCCTTTCTAAGAAACGGACAGTTGTCAATGTAAACAAATACAGTAGAATCTACCTGTCATTCAGTTTAACACTCCGATTAACTTACAAAACTAGATAACACAAAATTAATATGAGAAAATGTTTTTTATTTATGTTAATGTTGATAAATGCTCTTTATATTTCTTTGAGCGAATAATGCTTAGTGCCTGATTTTTATAAACTTGTTTGCTTGAAAAAAAAAAACCGATTCTGATGTCACTGATCTTTTTTCTACCGTCAATCTGAAATCATTCTAAGAAATTCTGAGGGTCATGTTTTGTCTTGGGTAGAGGGTAGAGTAATGTAACGTTTATTTTGTCTTGAGATAATAAATCTCCAATGGCCAAGCTTTGTTAAATCAATTAAAATTCAAAATTTCGTTCGGTTCCGAGAATTTTCCAAGTTCTTGGCCCCGGAAAAATGAAACGCATACGTAAAACATAGAATTGGATAAATACCGTCCAAGCACAAGAATTTAATGTAATTGTGTTTTGTATAAACTATACATCACGAATGTGTTCGAAAATTGTATGCTATAATAGCGTCAACGCACGTTTATTTCGTGTTATAAAGTCTGCAGAGTCCCTTGAAACTGTTGGAGCCCTCGCCCTACCGGGCTCGGGCACCAACCGTTCCTCGGGACTCTGCAGACGTTTTATAACACGGAAAAACGTGCGTTAACCCTATAATAATTTTATTTACATAAAAAAAACACTTGCCCAGATTTTATACTGTTGGCCTGTAACAGTATAAATCTCTTAGTCACATGGTACACTTGCTTTAGCAGTAAGAGTAACTCCCAGTGGAAATGAATATTTACAAAAAAGGAGGGATAATGCTATACATTAAATGTTGCAGAGAAAGCCTAGTTACTGGCAGATATGTTAAATCACTAAAAGTATGAATGCTTTCATAAGCAAATACACAAAGCTGTTTGGTATACACTGGTAATGGAGTAGTATAGTTATATATTCAAAGCGTCAGAGCTAATGACAAACATCAGAATTACTGAAATACAATGATGTGCTCTGTATATAATATATAACATCCAATCCATAGAGGAAATTAAACCAGTATTTATTATATAAATTTCAAGTTCCATTGCAAAAAAACAAAACAAAAAAAAAACATACAATTTATTACATGTACTTCTCAAGGTATTGAATGAACATAAGAATGGATGGGAGCGTTTTTCGACCAGTGCATGTAATACAATAATAGATCCATTTCTCATATTTTGCTTTTTTAATTAAAGTTATTTTCTCTGACAACATAAATATGTAATTAATAATAGAAAAACATATTATTAAATGATAAAACCTTTACTGAATAAATGGAAGAAACAAAACGAATACATTGTATTATCGTGACTATTGATTATTTGATAGAATTTCAAATTTCGGTGCAATAACTTATCTCATTTGAATGATTAACCTTTGTGAGAAAAGAATATTTAAATTAACTATATCATAGTATAATACATTAATTGACACTGTTATCTTAATTGACACTGTGATTTACATATGATTAACATACAAACTCAAAACTTGATATTTCATCAATATTGAATAAGAATGTACTGTAATGAGGAAGTTGCAACAGAAAAACATACCAACATTTGTGCGTACAGTTGGTTTATCGGAACAAATATTAGGCGTACAGTAAGAAAACTGGAAATATTTTATATATTTTCGAATAAATATGCAAAACTTCTTTTGTATATCGTTTTGTTTTTCAAAAATAAACATGTTGGGACTTAAACTAATCGAATATCTCGTTTTAAAACGACTGATACATTATTCGTTTGCATGTGCATATCAGGTTGACTGTTAAATTTGCAGCAACAAATACCTCAATAACTTCCTCAATTCTATAAAATTTATTATTTTATTTTCACAGTCATGCACAATTATAAGTTCTGATCAGCATGCACAATGCTATTCAATAGACAAACAATATTTGGAAACAAACATACCCACTTTCGTTTTCGCTCCCGTCCGCCATTAGGGCGTATCGCATGAATTCACCTCGCTTAAAGGAGAATCGCACCGCTATACGTTCAACCCCCTGTTCATGTTTTATAAAGATATAAAGTCAGATTCTGAATAAGCAATTAACATATATGTATATTCAAAACAGTTCGAATACTTTTAATAATTGCCTTTTTTATTTACAAGGGAGATGTATGGAAACCGGATGTAGCACTGAAGAACTCGTTCTTGGAGTATAAGGAACTAGGAGTTTCGTCTCTGAACGTTCTCGTCTCTTCTGATGGTTACGTTGAATGGTATCCGTTTCAGGCAAGACACTCCTATTAATGAGCCGCGTCACGACAAAACCAACATAGTACGGTTGCGACCAGCATGGATCCAGACCAGCCTGCGCATCCGAGCAGTCTTATAAGGATCCATGCTGTTCGCTATAAGTTTCTCCACTTGTAATAGGGTTTGTAAGCGAACATCATGGATCGTGATCAGACTGTGCGGATGCGCAGGCTGGTATGGATCCATGCTTGTCGCAAACGATCTATGTTGGTTTTGTCGTGACGCAGCATATATAAACGTGTTCGAAATTTATGTTTTGATTTCTCGGGGTCAGTACTATCATTGCCTGAAAGGGCGGAGTTACCCTCATTAAGCCTAGAATATAAACATGTTTTGATAAAAAAAAAACAATGATTATTTTCCAATTTTTCAAACCACGACCACAAAGTTATTCGTCCTACCACAATAATTTTGAGAGGGTATAGAGTACAATCGAATGCATGGATTTAATTTTCAAACAATAAAGACATTATTGATTAGGACCATTCAATTATAAAGAAACTTGAAGCAAGAATAAATAAACTCTTACAATCCTATCTGTATTATTAAGTTTAGTAAACATTTTATAAAAGAACCAATTTTGGTTAATTTGATATTCTGTTCTATTGTCCATTTCCATTCTTGCGATGAGTATTTGGGCATTTAATTAATTTCAAATAAAGCGGTTTTTAGTTATTTATCAACATGATATATAATGATATTTGAAACATAAAAGCAGAAAACGTTATATTGAATCTTTTAGGCATGACCATTAAGGATATCATTCTACAGAAACAAATACATGTATATTAAAAGGTATTAAAGAACGGCGAATTCGTTATTTTATATTATACACGAGAGTTTTCGTTAGTTGAAATGTTTTTTTTTTCAAATAAGATGCATCCTTTTACATGAACATCTTGTTTTCAATTTTCTTTCCTTTGGTTTCACTTGTAAGTTCGAATTCATGATATTTTATACCTTCTTTTTATCATTCAATCTTTTCTCTCCATAAACCTTTTCAGGTTTTCCAATCTACGTGCTCCGTAGACATCACATATTTTCCATTTGATACTCAAGAATGCAAATTAAAGTTTGTGGCTTGGAGTTATTCAACGTATGAGGTAAAACAATATTTTAGACCAACTTTTTTGCACATCTGACTGTTTCAACTACATGTGTATTTTTAATGAACTTCTGAACTCTCTGCAGTAGCTATGGTTTTAACCTTTAAGCTGATTGGACCAAACGTGATTAACCATTGCGACAAGTATAGAGCCGCCTTGCCGGCCTGCACACTCGTACAGTCTGACCAGACCTTAAAATATATAATAAATGGCTCCAGAAAATATGTTAAATGGAAATATTTATGCAACATATTCAGCAGGTAAAAACGTTAATGTTTCCTGGAAATATTACTGTGACCTTCAAGGAAATGTAAACGATACAAGCACTACCTAGTCACTGAAAGCTAGGGTTAAGGATTGTCATAAATGCATAATAATGTCACCCTTTTCTTAACGACACTCAAGTTCTAATACAAATGTTGAATCATGTTGTCTTTAGATAGAATATTGAATATGTGGGTAGAATCTGAAATTGGTAAAACTAGTCTAAAGAATGGTTTTCAAGTTTGATGTGTTAAGCGCGCGCCTGTCAGGTTTTGCATTACTGACTTTCCTAAAGTGATATATAATTTGTATGGTTGTATTCTAGGTTTATATGGACAGTGGAGACAAAGGGATAGAGTTGGAAGAGTATGAATCAAACTCAGAATGGGACGTCATTGACACAAGTTACTCGGTGAACTGGGAATCCGCGGAGTCTTCTGTTGTATTCAGCATCAAAATCAAAAGAAAACCACTTTATGTCCTTCTCTCAGTGATCATGCCAATAATTATGTTGGCAGTTTTGAACATTTTTGTATTTGTCCTACCTTGTGATAGTGGCGAAAAAGCTAGTTATTCTATAACAGTCTTCTTAGCTTTTGCGGTATTTCTGTCTATAATTTCTGCAACCTTTCCCGAAAACTCCGAAGTGGTCGCTTTATTTTCTGTCTATCTTATTATCCAGACTCTTCAGAGCACAGTAATTACACTCATTGCCCTAGCTCTTACCCGATATGCTTCCTTCGATGGTCTAGGAACACCTGTACCTCATCAACTAAAAGCTTTTCTTAATGTCATCACCTGCAAAACCTGCTGCGCGAAATACATTCGTAAAAATCAGGTTACTGATATTGAAATTAATGCTGAAAAGGTTACAAAAAAGTCAAATGGAAAGTTAGACAACAAACACTTTATTCTGAAGACAAATGAGCAGAATAGTGATCACCAATCTAGATTTAATACCTGGAAAGAAGTTGTTAACAAGCTTGACGTTATATTCTTTGTTTTCTTCACTTGTGTTCTCATTATCTCCACTCTTCTCTTCTTTGTCATATCTGCCACAAAATAATTGAAGATTTTTTAATATACTATCTAATGATTCAAGTATTTTAACATATTTTCTACTTTTTTATATCTGAAACAAAATGAGTTAAGGTTTTAATACATTTGTTACTGTTTCATAAAGTCAAAATTGTTTAATGTTTTTAAACTCATGACAACATTCTTTGTCCAGAATCAAAAATGATAATCAAGATTCGTATTTGAAGTTACTGACGAACTCCTGAATTGTTGAAAGCGTATGTTGAAATATATCGTAGCCTTTAAATAAAAGAACAAAAGAGCAAATATAAATTGAATATAAAGTTTAAAAATAGATTATCGTTTATCATTTTAGTGATTAACCTGTACGTGCCCTGTCCTATTTTTGTTTGGGGTCCGCCTGGGCTCTTGCCGCTAGTTCTTGTTGCTGCGTCGTGTGGGGGTTGAGTTCATTGAACGCCGCCTTTCCTTGTTGATCTTGTTTATCATATTTTACATTTGAAAGGTCCTTATTCGGGAACTATATTAGTTTTTTCCCCGATCTTCTACTAATGAACATCAGGTTTTTGTATGTATATAGCAAAAAAGAAAACAATTGGCGTGCCGTCACAATATGATCGACGTCGCAGTAAAATAAACCAAACGCGTGTTTCTTTTGACCCACTTGAATACTTATAACTTGAGTTTAAATAGACGTATCAACATGAAAAAAGTGCAAATTTAAGTTCAGCCAAATATCTAAAAACTGATAAAACAATGAATTTAATCAGATTCGTGCTGCTAAAAAAACCCCATAAAATAATACGATAAAAACATGAAAAAAATCAATCTTGACACCATGTCTTTTGCAATTTGCCGAAAGTTAGGAACCATGTCCAATAGCATTTATGGGGTACATTCCACTTGTGTACCTGCTCGTGACGACATGAAGCGGACCGTCTTCCTTACGATTTGCCATAATGCCGGCAAATAAACACATCAGAATATCCGATTCCTGTATAGATATTGAATTACTTAATATGGTGTAATGAAGTATTTTACGATAACATATGCGCAATATTAAAATTTAAAATATACAATACATGTATATATTCCATAGATATACGTTAACATGCTTTTTCGTTTAAAGGAACACCCTTTTCTGCGTCTAAAATACAAAAAAAAAAAAAAAAAAAAAAAAAAAAAAAAAAAAACACACAAAAAAAACAACAACAACAAAAATAAAAACAACAACAACAAAAATAAAACAAAAAAAACCCCAAAAAAACAACTGACTCTATTTCCAAAATAATTGTCAAAACGGTATGACATTTTATGTATGTAATTGAAACTGATATTTTGCTGGTGAAATAAATTCTATATATTGTACATGTTTGTATTTTATTTTGGTATTGTGAATACTTTTAAGCCGATGTACACGTGTGTTATCAAAGCAGAATACTATTAAGATGAGAATTTATAGCAAGCAAACTGAATTCATTCAGTTTAAAACTTCTTCCTACTTTTCATTTTCAAATATCATATTTGTATAATTTCAAAGACAGGAAGCGAGAAACAAGCATAATTAAATGAAAAAATTTACGAAATAGGACAGGCAATAAAATCGTTCGGCCATTGTAAACATTAAATTTCGTTCGACCATTGTACTCGTTTTTGTAAAAAGATGCACAACTTCGTTATGAAACTTTACAAAGGATGATATTGTTCATGACGGACAAACTTGCAATTGTGTAAAAGATGTCAATGCTAATTTTGCTCAAAATGCTTTTCTTTTACTGAAAACAACGCATTTTAGTACATGTGAGCCCACTGTACTCATCACCTAAACAAGTTTTTCGACTTTCAGGCCTTAACAGATAGAGCTACAAAGTAACCAACGTGGTTTTTGTATTTTCTGATCGCAAGATCAGTAAATACATAGCTAACATCCACGGTCTAACACAAATTTTCCTAACAGACCTAACAACGCAAAGTAGTTCTCACTCAGAACTGCTTAAAAACCAGCAATTTAAAATAAAGAATAATTTTTAATGTATGCATTTAACGAATTACAGTGCATTAAAAGTTTAGAGTAGTCAATAGAAATATGAGGTTACAATCACAAATTTCGCGGATGAATATCTTTTTACCCAATGAAAAATGTTCGGCTATTTTCGTAAAGCTTAATGAATGAAAATGCTATTTTTAGCTATGTCGATTACCGAATACTCCAGAGCGTAGTACAAAAATAAATCTGACTGTCGAGTAGTGGAATATATACATGTCGTACTGTTTTGGCGAGAAGATTTTCGCTAAATTATTTTCATCAGTGTTAAACAACAGGTTTATAGTGAAGAAAATACCTCGAAATTAGTAAGGATTACAAACACGGAATGGAAATTCTCAATTTAGAATTACAATGTATTTGTTATTATTCAAGCTACATATGTATTTCTTCACCGTGGTGCAGAGGTAGCGCGCTCGTTTAGGGTGTGACAGGCCCAAGGTTCAAATCCTAGTCGAGGCAACTTTTTTTATTAAAGTGTCTTTTTTAAGGAAGTAGCCACGATCACATTATATAAACGATTTGAACCCCAACCGGATCTTGTGAGAAGATCTCAGCATCTAAACGTACAATCAGGCGGGATGACACATTAAACTATCAAAAATCGGCTTGAATTTAATATGTTACGGTATGTTAACATTTGAATCATATTAAGAAATAATTTATCTTTGATTAAATATACATCCATAACCTTCTTCGTAAAATATATGCGCATAAAACGCTGAGCTCTTCGCCTCATGTTTTGTTTATGTCAACACACGCCGATTACACAAGCAAATGTATGCCTAAAATTGTTTTATTTCACTATAACTCATATCTGAATCTTAACTTTATTGTCTTAACCTCATGTTACCGGACAGACACTTGTGAAAATATCTTTGAATATTGATAAAACATAGTAAATAATAGAGGCGACATTTCTGATAACTGTACCCGTCTTGCTAAAACAATTTTAATGATCTGTACCCTACTTGTGTTTTCACTGAACCATTACTTGCGAGTCACTTTTGATGCTTTTTATTGTGTTTTTGTCGTATGTTCCAAATTTTAATGTGCAGAATATGAAGTTATTGTGTCACAAGAGAAGGGTACATGTTTTAGTTCTATGTAAGTAACTAAAACTGCATCTGACTGGAGGAGCTTCGTCATGTTTTCACTGTCTACGAAAATACTGGCATGAAGTGGCTGTTTATACGAATCAGAAAGTCAATTATTTCTTGATAGGAATAATTAACTATCAAACCTCATCTTCACTTACCATTCATTTTTCTTTGGAAAGATATAAAGCTAAAATATTACATATGTACTATAATTTTTTTATATTTAGTTCAACGGCATTGTTGTTAGTTTTGACGTGACCGTTATATAACGTCACGTATCAATAAACCCCGAAATATCATTACAAGATTTTTTTGCAGATTACTTATTTCAACATGTTGAAAGCTTTACACCTACCGTTGATTTCATACACTGTTTTATATTCTCAGAAATTCATTGACTTTCTTTTTCTGACATGTACGACTTTTATTCTTGTATATCTTTCATAGACGTCGACAATTTTGGCATCTTTTTAAACGGAGAATATTCGGGAAATTTTGAAATTTTAATTGTCAGTGTTTCAGCTATTGGTGTTATAAACTTCTTTTTTTTCGTTTACGTTATTGGTTGTGACGCTGAAATTTTTTAAGTAGGAAATTTTATTCTGATCATTATTTATTCTTATTTTCAAGTTGCAGTCTGGATGGCGAATAATTATGTGGCTAATGATGGCATTGAAATTCGTAGTCTTTACTCAACAGTATATGCAGGTGTATTCTTCCATGGTGATCCGAAATAAAAATATACATAGCATTATATATTTTATTAAACAAATGATTAACAATATTATCAGTTAAACCAATTCTCGGTAAATACCTTAGATCCCACCTTATATACTAAAATTCTATTACAATCATTTATATTTTCTGGCAATAATTGATACAAAATCGCAATGAACGTAAACCTTTTCTCCAATAAATCTTTAAAAATACTCACAAGTCAGGGTACAGATAAAATTCGTAAACTCACAAGTAGGGTTCACAATCACCAGCAAGTAACGTTCAGTTTACGGAAATGACCTCCTTGGTAAAACTCTTAAATTTATGTTCAAGATACAGCAATATGTTATGCATATGACTACATTATCGTTTGTTATTGATTACTTTAGTAGTTCGATATCACAATTCAATGTTTAACTAAATCAACATTGGAATAAGACGGATTTTTGTTCGTGTTGATCACCTGAAAGCTGTTCGTGAGTTTCGATTATTTTATAGCCTTCGTGCTAACGTTTATGTTTTGCATAACTTAGACGTTTAATAAAGTTTCTCTCTTATAATATAAATATAGATTTACTAACCTAACGTCCATCAGTATCAATATAAATACCAATATCGTTAACAAGTAAAGTGGCAGAATATGGCTGACACTAAAATCTTCTCACAAGATCCGGTTGGGGTTCAAATCGTTTATATACTGTGACGATATTATGCAAGGATAAAGTATGGCTGTCATAAAAAATGAAAATGATTTTATGATGCAACTCTAGTCATGCAAAATTCCATATGTATCAATCTCAAACTGTTATAGACGCAGTCGCTGCGTAAGATTAATTATAGTATATAAAATGAACTTATATAGGAAAATACATACAGATAATCAGTATGATTTAGATTGCAAAGATCAGAAAATACCACAGAGGTTGCAGCCCTTTGATTGTATTTTCTGATCGTAAGATCAGTAAATACATAGCTAACATCCACGGTCTAACACAAAATTTCCTTACAGTCCTAACAACGCAAAGTAGTTCTCACTCAAAACTGCTTAAAAACCAGCAATTTAAAAGAAAGAATAATTTTTAATGTAGGCATTTAACGAATTACAGTGCATTAAAAGTTTAGATTAGTCAATAGAAATATGAGGTTACAATCACAAATTTAGCGTATGAATATCTTTTTTACCCAATGAAAAATGTTCGGCTATTTCCGTAAAGCTTCGGATTATCATGAATATCATTTTAATCAATGAAAATGCTATTTTTAGCTATGTCGATTACCGAATACTCCAGAGCGTAGTACACAATCGAGTAGTGGAATATATACATGTCGGACTGTTTTGGCGAGAAGATTTTCGCTAAATTAGTGTTAAACAACAGGTTTATCGTGAACAAAATACCTCGAAATTAATAAGGATTGCAAACACGAAATGGAAATTCTCAATTTAGAATTACATAATGTATTCGTTTTTATTCAAGGTACATATGTATTACTTCGCCGTGGTGCAGAGGTAAGCGGTCTCGTTGAGGGTGTGAGAGGCCTATGGCTCAAATCCTAGTCGAGGCAATTCTATTTTTTTTTTCATGCAAAATTCCATATGTATCAATCTCAAACTGTTATAGAAGAAAATCAAAACGCTGTCGCTGCGTAAGATGAATTATAGTATATAAAAATAAACTTATACAGGAAAGTACATACAGATAGTCAGTATGATTTAGATTGCAAAGATCAGAAAATACCATAGAGCTGCAGCCTTTGATTATACAGGGGTTCCGTGCGACCTAGTTTTACATATATATATAATATTAACTGTATGCTTACCTCAATTTCACTGCTTTTACCGAGCGTTTAAGCCGCCATTTTATGAGCCCATTGTACGATTTTGGTCACGTGATCATCCGCAGTGTATATATTAAAGCGGGATAAGAATTTTTGCAAGGGAAGGGAAACAACACGCACTATTAACACTTGCAGAGTTTTCGCCCCGACAACACATTCCTGATTATTGTGCACAATGATAATGCTATTTACATATAATTACCAAATAAATGTTTTATTCTAATATGATTGACATATATTAGGAAATCACGTGTCTTACTTTAACACTATTTGATATCAAACGACTATAATTTTGTTGTTATAATTTTAATGTCGAATAAAAGTTAGGTTATGTTATGTTATGTTAGATAAAAAAAAACACGCTAATCAGCGGGGAGCAGATTAAATTGTAAAATGGCGGGCTGCGAAGCGAAATACAACATGTATTTATTGATACGTGACGCTAATGAGCATCGCGTTCATACCATAGGTTTGTCTTGAATAAACTGATATTTAGAATAAACCAGAGAAGGGAACAATTATATTAAAACGTTGCATATGTGTTTAACATATTATCATTTTCCGGGTATGTATGAGATGGGTCACCGTGTAGAGAAGTATATGAAGGTTAATGAAGTATTGTAAGTTAAGTACGAGTATTCTACAGACGGCATCAATACATGAATCGTAAAGTTTGTTAATTGAAGTGACCTATATACTCGGACTGCATGAAAGTTTCACAAGCTTTACGTTTCATATTAGTCTAATGAGGTATTTGCTAGTAAAAACTTTGCGCAAGAACAATGGACAGGAATTTGTGATAAACAAATAAGGTATGTGAATGTGAGACTGACAAAATGCACACATAAAATAAAGAAAATATGAGAACAAGAGTGTGCTAATATCATTTAGTAATTAATGTGTAGTAAGGATTAAAAGGGACATTGTTGAAGATTTTATAGAATCAAGTTTATTTTTTGTTTGAAACGGTAGCCCATTGTATTTACCTCACTTGCACATTTGAAAAAAGGTATTTTCAGCATTTGATAACTTTTATTCCAACAAATTCACAAAGTTCAACTGTAACTGTCTATTTCTAGTCGAGTGAAACGAAGTCTGACAAAGTTTAAACAATCAGCACATGTATAATGAGTTTTAACTTTAGTCTCTTATAATACACATAACAAAGCTTTTATCACATATCTAAAAATTTAATAACTGCAGCCAATAGCAGTGCCCCTATGCCCAGTCCAGTAAGTATCGTCTTTACTACTGCAAATGACGACCTATTATACCATCTACCGCCCGGCTCACCTCTAACTTTAATGTCGTGACCGTCACATTTTGACGTTAGACGAAAATAAGGAACACTTGTTGTCTGCACGACCGGAATTTTACGACATTTATCAAGTCTTTCCAATTGGCGAAATACCCAAAGTCTTCTGTTATCCCACGTGATCCAGCGTCCGTTGTATTTTGTGACCGTGATAGAGTCGATATCATATACTGAAAGCCTGTTAAAAAACGAAATTGAAGTTATTGTTTTTTCTATGTTAAGTTAACTGCCAATTTGTTTGTGTGCAATAATTTTCCTTCATACTGTTAAATTTTTCCCTCGCTATATAGCTGTATATTGCTATACGTAGACGAGTTGCTAACTGCGTATCAAATGACATGAAGCTATCTAGAAGGCAACGGTGTCACACAAAAACGTTTTTGTTATAACGACCTAAACTCAATTATATACTCATTTTACTACATAGATTTAGTAATAAGATGAGTTGTGTTTCACGAAGTTTTTGTTTGTGTGTGAAACTTGGGCCAGTAATTCAGATGTCCGCCTGTGTCTGATATTATGCAGAGTTGCTTAGTGATCTTTACAACGACGTTTTGACTATTATAAATTATTTAACAAATATACACTGGTATAAAAGTTATAATTGTATCAAGCTATATATCTGCCGGCTGCAGTTTACAAAATTTGGTTCTAATTTTGAAAAGAATAATTCCAAAATACATCTATGAAAGAAGTAGATTATGTTGATATGGTTTCCTTATGATCGAATGATGTACAAACTAATTGCTTAAAGGTTAGACTCCTACTTAAAATATCAACATTATTTTATGTTCAGGAACATTTTATTTGCTCTGTTTACGTACATTACTGTTTTAAATAACTCTTTCGAAAATCGATCATGAAGTTATGAATACAACATAATTTTACCGTTTTGACATTTTGTAAACATAATTAAACAAACCATAAAACATTTTAATCGTTAAGATTACCTACCTCCCTTCGCATAAATCATCCAAAGTCTCGCCTATTTGTACAAAGGGAGAAGAAAAATGATTGCTTATACTACTCTGAGAATAGTATATATCCGACGGTCGCAACATTAGAGACATCTTTACTATACTAGACGCGGTAGGATACAATTAAGATTTATAAACGCTATAAATTAAAGTTTCCTTTCCGATAACGCAGATAAGAGCAATTTTCTGAAAATTCAAATTGCAAACGAAGGTAGTTGTAGTGATGAAGATTATATAATCCATTTTTCAGAAAATTGTAGGAATGTTACATGTAGAATACATGTAATTTGACATTTTTTTGTATATGTGTTTATGTGTTTCATTTATTACGTTTCAGTGGATATCTTGACATTTTCCAAATAAACAATACTAAGTTTGTAATTAGTGTAATAAAAAATAAAAAAGATGTCCCCATTTTTTTCACATCAAATATCTAACTATGTCTCGAACACCACTACCTATCTTTACCAATAATAAAATGTATGAGTCACCGCAAAATGAGTTTCATCCAACCCCAAGCCAGTAGTGAGGGAAGTCAATCAAGGATTTAACATTTTTTTTATTCTAAAACTTTGTTCATGAATTTGATTTCATTTTTATTAAAGAGACTCCGCTCGGGTCTAAAAGTCTAAAACATAAAATTTGAAATACATAGATAAAACCTGGAAACTTACGACTGAACAGATAATAAAGAAAAACACTCATAATTAGTTTGAAAATCAATATAAATTTAGTACGTAAGATAGTAAATTTACGTTTCTTAGCTCCCAATTGACACCACCTCTCAGATAGACCGTTACAATTGTTCATTTCAAAGGACGATATTGTCTTATTGCCGACACTCTTCGGATTGCATATGACTGTAAACAATGCTTAGCATATATCACCGTAACATTTATTACTCTTAATGTCGGTATACAAAATATAGATGGGATTGAAGTTATCATCGCAATGAAAATGAATGTAGGTTTTATTCTGAGTCATTTAGAAAATTTAGCTCGCTAGTGATCCCCTTAATCAATAAAAAAAATTACTTAAAATGTTCTAACTATTACCTAATAGTTTGGCTTGATGCGGTATCAGTGTACGTCCTGATAGAGTTTGTCAGAAAAGAAAGAACGAATGAAAGAAAGGTAGATAGGTAAATAGATTAAAAATACTTTTTTTGGTAAATGATGATAGTTATTACACTCTTCCAAGTTAGTTTGAGATGCGAATGACAAAACCAACGTAATGCGTTTGCGACCAGCATGGATCCAGACCAGCCTGCGCATCCGCGCAGTCTGATCAGGATCCATGCTGCCCGCTTACATACCCTATTACAAGTAGAGAACTGATAGCGAACAGCATGGATCCTGATCAGACTGCGCGGATGCGCAGGCTGTCTGGACCCATTGTGGTCGCAAACCCACTATGTTGGTTTTGTCATGACGCGGCTTATATTATACCTATATTATACCTATAGTATACCTATAGTTAACATTAATGTCAAGTACCGGTAATAGTGTTATTGATAATGCAATAATGTCGTGTGGGTTATTTCCCATTATTAGTTATTTTGTTTTACACGATATGTTTCATTTTGCTGCAATGATCCGATAGCGTGATAGCTTATCTTATTAAATTGTTATTTTTGAAACATGAAAATATTATCGGACCTGTCATTTTCAAGAAATTAAAAAACCGAGAAAAAAACCGGAATGTTACAGTGTTCCGTTAGCATCGCGAAACGTGAAAAACAGACGACGGCGAAAACGAGAAACACGAACGGACGAAAACGCGAAAGTACGATAACGAAAACACGAGTAGTCGATACTTACTGCGTTTTCGTCATCGTGTCTTCGCGTTTGCGTCTTCGTCCCTTCCTGTTTTCGCGTTGTTTTTTTTCCCGTGTTTTCGCCTTCCGGTACATGTCAGTATAATTATTTAGAGATACACTGATTAGTCCATACTTACTGTCTGTCTACAACATTAAATGACACAATATATTCTATCACCATGATGGGGTTCAGACATATCATGTGTTTAATATTTTATAATTATTTTTCTTCTTATTTTTTAATTTATTTTATGATAAAGATTTAAAAACATTTATTTTTGGAGTTTTAAGACATTTGATTTTATTCTGAAGCAAAGAAATAATTGGGGGTCACCGACTTCGTTTCGAAACACCTATCATTGAATTTGATAAATAAAAAATTGATATTTTGTTATGACTCAGGGAAATTAATATTCATTCAATTTAGTATTATAAGAGGGAAATTGGAATTGTGGCAAAAAAATGTCTGCCTCTCAACACAGGGACCATGAGGATCAGAACTACTGAAGCCACAACAATGTTTCTTTCTTTCATGTGACACAAGTACTGGGTATTAAAGGAAGTGCACACTAAAGTTGTTCCAAGTGACGATTTTCAAAGTATTTAACATCCTTTGTTCCATGAAGTTCATGACTGATATATGAAACACTCCATCCCATCGATTTCATATAACAAGCTTGATAATTAACAAATTGCTTATGGTACGTGACTTTGTATCTTTCTTAGACGAAAGTCAGTTTCGAGTTTTCAAATTGCGGTCGTAATATTTCCTGGTCGATCCTGTCTGTTCTCATTTACAGCACTTGTGTAAGATGTTCCATAGACAGTGTCCTGAGCGGAAAACTTAACCAAACTGTTTTAAACAAATTCGACATTGTTTTCAATGCCACCGCGTCGGTAATAAGGGTAGGTCCGTGTTTTCGTTCGTTTTTTTAATTCAAGATTGTGCTTTGGAATATTGGATAACATCAAACTGTACTTCCCTATGTATAGCCTGTCGATCTTTAAGAAATTTTAAGTACCAATATAATGTATCAATTTCTAAAACTTTTAACTTACCTTAGTTTGTTAAATATTTATACTTGAGACCATTTGTAAAATGTTGTTTGGACTATGATACAAATATATGTATAAAAAATACATGAATAGATAGCCGAAGAAAGGGAAGAGAAGATGAACTAATAAACAGAATCAAAGAATATCAAATTTCATTTTATCATCATGAAGATATGTCCATTACTATACATGTCTAAAGATGTTGAACGCGGAATAAAATTACTGTCTATTGTACAAACGAGGCACATAGACACCAAATATCACAAAAAATGTAGGAAACTTTGATACATATTTAGACTGTTAAAAGGTATTTATAGAAAAAATATAAATTTCGAGATTATTTCTTTACATGCATTAAATCATGAATGATTAATTATTTTATAGTGCCAGTGGTCGACCGGTTTAAGTCGTTGACTTTTATACACTTGCTCCTCATCACTCTGCCAGTTGATTCTTTCACGTCTGGCAGTTATCCAGAGGACTTTCGGAATGTCGTTGGTTCTACTCAGGTATCCGCCTTCACCTGAAACAAAGGGACACCTAAAGTCTTTCTTTAGCTAGAAAAGTCACCATTATGACAGTGACTGAAATACGCGGAGGCACATTAGTGCATATTAACTATAGTTAAAATTTGTATGTTTTGGAATCAGTATACGGTGTCTATAATAATAATATTAATAATAATAATATTAATAATAATAATAATGATGATAATAATAAATGAATTTGAGCTGAAAAAGTATTAATAGGTCAAGGTCGGGCGAGCTAGACATAAATAAATAAAGTAAGCCAGCTTATTTCAAATCCGTTCTTAAACTAGCATTTCACACTAGGTTAGGACTTATGCCAGTGGCAAGATCAAGGTAATATAATCTTAAAGAAAAACTGCATATTTTGAAACAACAACCATAGCTTCCAGTTATTCAAAACAATTTGAGATAAATATCCTTGGGTTAGTCGGTTTGTGTGTGTGTGTGTGTGTGTGTGCGTGTGTGTGTTGGTGTGTGTGTGCGTGTGTGTGTGTGTGTGTGTGTGTGTGTGTGTGTGTGTGTGTGTGTGTGTGCGTGTGTGTGCGCGCGCGCGTGTGTGTGTGTGTGGTGGGGGTCATTTACGCTACAGACAAAGTCCGTCTTCATAGTAAAGGCGTTCCTTTATCTTTAGAATAATGGCAAGAGTCTTTGAAACTTCAGTCCTTTATACTTGTTTTCATTATGGCAAAACAGTTTTGCTGCTCTATTATCGCAATACAAATATTTCATATTTACAACATTAGACGCCGTAGTTGCATATTCAATAATTGTGCAGGGAATCTGACACCACATGTGTTATTTATTATTTATCCCCTTGTTTCGTAATACATTAACAATGCACGTCACACAATTTTTTTCTTCTCAAAATCCATAAACATTGATCGGTATATTTAAGAGTTACATAAATTACCATTTTAATAAGCTATATCATAATATTTAAACGTCCCGGTTGAATGAACAAACGTTCGCGTGCCAATCTGTTTGACACTTGCCGCCTGACCAATCCAGTTATTCAAAGGAAGTGTACAATACAAATTGTGTAATATTATGTAATACAGGGGTATTAAAATTTTATCTTTAACACCCTGCTGTTTTAATTTAAATTACTGATGGAAAAGTCGTCTAATGATACCTTAAACAAACCCATGTGTGTGCCCGTTTTGACCATTGAATTATTACTCCCGCACATTTTCGTAGATCGGTTAAATAATAAATTCACGTTGTATTCAGTAAAAGATTGACAAATTTGCTAAATTTAAAAATGCAAATGCAAGTTTCAGGCCATGTTCAGTTTCTTTCTCGGGCTTCCTGTATGTAGAATACGTGTCGAAATCTCACATATTCGTAAGGCTCGTATATGGATTTATCTATGATAACAATCTGATTATTAGCTTAGGAATTCTTTATTTTTCTCCATTCTAGGTATATGACAGTTAAGTTAGCGACGCGGGAACATTGGAGAATTTCGAGAAGTTACGAAAATCGATAATATTTTCTCTAGCGTAAATATAAATTAACCTGTCATTAAAATCTACTCTTGCATGATTCTCTAATATTTCCTCACGCAAAATGTCTGGAATTTAAAATTCAATCCAAACCTATTTAGATATAGAATCATAACTAATTAAAGGAAATATTTGTTGTGTTAAACCAATATTTGTCAAGGAGCACATTCAATAAAGAACCAGACAAGGGTTTCGATTAGAACATCACTAATTCCTAATCTAGTAAGCAAGATTAATTTCATATAAAATCTCATTTTGCTTCATAGTTACAATCATTTTGGACTTGAAGATAAAATGGCGATGTGTTAAAATAAATATAGATACGTTTACTTGTGTACAATATATATTTCCATGCAGGATATCATCTGTTATATTTTGTTGTGTAGTTTTCGACCTTAAAAGTTTAAAATGTGAGTCAAATAAATTGTATTGCTTTTGTAAAATAATGATGAAAATAAAATAAATTAGCCGTAAGAAATGTTGCTAAGGACCTGAAATAATACATAGTGATTTTGCAAAAGTATATCAAGCTGTTCAGGGTGTCTTAACAAATAATTGCCAAATAATTTAAGTTCAAAATTTAAGTTATTTTAGTCACGCACCTGTGATCTTGTTGCTCTTCTTTTTCATTGCTTAATTCTATATTAAACAAAAGATTAATAGAAAATGAAAGGTGTGTTTTTAGATATACGTATTGAAAGAAATTGATATGCATAAAACGTACACAAAGAGATAATAAACCTGTTGTTATTAAACAGAAAATATCTACGGACTAAAGCACAAAAATGTAAGCGTGTTGAAAAATATATAAAGACACTATTTTAAGAATTATTCAATATCTTTACCTTTTTTTATTGTAATATCGATATTTTTATTCCAACTACTGTTTCACATGTAATTTTCGTGTTTATTCAAATAAATAAATGGAATAAAAGGTAAACTAATAATAATAATAATAATAATAATAATAATAATAATATTAATAATAATAATAAATGTTTTATTATTAGCACTTGGATGCGATTGAACATAAACCTGAAAAAACTATATAAATTTTTTTAAAAGTGCAGTTTATAAAATCAAGTATAAATTGAATAAACTTTAAATTATAATTAAATGAAACATAATGTAAAGATAAATAAAAAACTGAAGATGTAAGAAACGTAAAACATGTATCTGTAGTGAAAAATCATTATATGCTGGAGATATTAAGTAGATAGTCTTGTGATTTAATGCCGAAGAACAATAGAGTAATCTTATAACATGGTGATATCATTAAAGGATGTTAATTGGGGTCCAAAGATTGTTTGTCCTGCTCGCAGTTTGTGGCTTTGGGACACACAAAGGCTCATGTGCGGACGGAAATGATGCAAAGAATCTTAGAAAACAGCTATTTGTAACTGATGGTTACGACAAAAAGGTCAGACCTTCCAACAACCAATCTGATCCAATAGGTATGAACAATTTTCTATTTCTAATTTCTGTACAATAGTGCACTTGGGTTGTTTGTTTCTTGAATCATAATTTATACATTGTATATACCTTTGCCTGTTTATTAATTGACATTAACAGTAATGGAAATTGGAGTAACTCACTTTTCTTTAATGACCTGAGTTCTGAGTTTTAATTTACCAACATATTTAGCACACCATAAGACATTGAGTACCTTTGTTTTGGTCATTGGGTTTACTTTTATATGTATCTACATGATCACTTCTGTGCATCTATGGTTACCATAACAACTGTAAAAGAATTTCACTTGGCGGGGATTCATTTTGTGTACAATGTCTCGTTTAAAGTTACACGGTGGGGCTAAGAGTGAGGTTTGATGCACCATTAACCAGTTTTAACTCCCTAGCAGTGCTTATGCTGCTGACCGTTCCAAGGCGGCGCCCCTCTGTGTTCCTTAGATGCATGTCTTTGTTGTTTCATACTGTTGTAATGATACTTTTGTTTGTGTCCTTTGCTGTTTTCTCGTTTGCGTTAAGTATCTTCCCTTTTGTCCCTATGTTTTCTATTTTCCCCCTCCCTTCCCTGAGTCTCGAGGTCCCTTCCCTTTTCCCTTTATTTGGCCTGTTGGTCAATCAATGATTTGTTTCCTTTGATTTCCTTTTCGGTCACTGTTGTTTCTTTTTTGGTGTATTTTATTATTTTCCTGGCCGTGCTCTGTCATGCGCCCTGTCCTTTTTGTTTGGCGTCCTCCGGGGCTCCTTGTCGCTGGTTCATGTTGCTTGGTCGTTTTGGGGTTGCGTTTATTGAACGCCGCCTTTCCTTGTTGATCTTGTATATCACATTTTACCTAACTGCACGTTTGTTTCTTGGAGATCAGTAATTTCAATACATTAAAGTGTGTGTGTGCACGCGCGTGTGTGTATGTGCAGTGCTTTATTTTGCTTTTATTTATATCTTTGCTAAATCCGGAAATCTATCTTTATATCTTTAAAACCCCTTTGAAGCCAACCTTTGCTTCAATTCAGTGCATTTTCCTAATGTTCTATCATCATACATCTTGAAATTTCAGTATACATGCCACTAGGTATTTTCAACTTTTTTTTCACTCTTATGTTTTATTCGAAATTTACACTAGTGTAGGCCTTGGAACTGTTTCATTTTTTGGTGATAAATAGTCAAAGATAGACGCATTGAAAATAATTACAAGTAGTTATGAAATAATTTTCTAGCAGTGTTTAAAAATCTTATCAATATATTTAATAGATTTTATTTCAGAAAACTGTATTTAATCAGTTTAAACCCAATTTCCCTGGACATTTATTATAAGAAGTGCAAACTAATAATTATTTGATCGAAGAGATGGGACGTTATGCGATACATTGTCAAACAGTTGTCTGAATACTCCTGTTTGAATAGGTTCATTTTATCAATCTGATCATATGCTAATCAAATGCTCGAAACTGATAGAGATTTATTCGCTGTAAAGGGGAAAGCCTTTAAGGGTTTTAAAATTTATATTTTTGTTTAATCCCTGTCTAGGGGTTTTACGGATTTTGTATTTCTGTCAACCCAATGAATTAAGTGAAAAAAACAGAGCCCCAATTGGGAAAGAAAAGGGTTTATTTTTGGGAATCACAGGGTATGATGATTTTTCTACATGGGTTTAAACAGATTAGGGGGGAAAATCGTTTTTTAAACCTTTGGGCCACGGGAAAGTTGTCTCTAGCAAGCCTGTTAAATTTATAAAATTTAATAATAGAAACGTAATAAAAATTGGATTTTTGGTTCCAATAAAATTTAGGCATACCCAACAACGCTTTTGACAATTTTAAAAATACTTAATATTTAAAATATTTCTGAAAATATTGATCTAGAAATAGATGTAAGTAGTGAACGCACGCGAAAATTGATAATTATGAGACAATTTATCGGTACAAGTGACCCGGCAAATACGTATTTTACTATTCCGACGCAGTCTCTTCATGTTTTTTCCGTCAGTACTGCTGTTTATCACACACCCGTGTCGATTTTGCGACTCCGTACAAATGGTATTGCACGACCGTGTCGATATTTTGACGTGACGTCATTTGCGTTATATAAACACTTCAAATGGTCTTTATTTTTGGTATGTGATAAACAGAATATTACATTCGTGTAAGTTCATTACTAAATATATTGAACTCGTTGAATAGAATAATATTATGCTCGCCAGAGGCTCGCATAATAAAATTTTATTTTCAACTCGTTCAATAAATTCAGTATTAAACTTACACTCATTTATTATCCTTGATATGCTGAAATATTCCTTTTTTTATAAAGATAGAATTTCAGATTCGTTTTCTAACCCGTATATTTTTTTCCTTTAAATATTTTAATAAAATGCGTTTTGCGTGACAAAACTTAATACGCTAAAAACATATATTCAAAACAGTTCTAATACTTTTAATTATCGCCTTTTTTATTTACTAGGGAGATGTATGGAAACCGGATGTTGCACTGAAGAACTCATTCTTGGAGTATAAGGAACTAGGAGTTTCGTCCCTGAACGTTCTCGTCTCATCTGATGGATACGTTGAATGGTATCCGTTTCAGGCAAGAAACTCCTATTAATGAGCCGCGTCACGACAAAACCAACATGGTGCGTTTGCGATCAGCATGGATCCAGACCAGCCTGCGCATCCGCGCAGTCTGATCAGGATCCATGCTGTTCGCTACTTGTAATAGGGTTTGTAAGCGAACAGCTGGTCGCAAACGCACTATGTTGGTTTTGTCGTGACGCGGATTTATAAACGTATTGGAAATTTATGTTTTGATTTCTCGGGGTCCGTACAATCATTACCTGAAAGGGCGGATTGACCCTCATTAAGCCTAGAATACATACATGTTTTGATTTAAAAAAAACAATGATAATTTTCTAAATTTTCAAACCATGGCGATAAGATTATTCGTCCTGCCACAATAATTTTGAGAGGGTATAGAGTACAATCGAATGCATGGATTTAATTTTCATACAATAAAGACAGTATTGATTAGGACCATACAATTATAAAGAAACTTGAAGCATGAATAAATAGACTCTTACAATCCTATCTGTATTATTAAGTTTAGTAAACGATTTATAAAAGAACCAATTTTGTTTAATTTGATATCCTGTTCTATTGTCCATTTCCATTCTTGCGATGAGTATTTGGGCATTTAATTAATTTCAAATAAAGTGGTTTTTAGTTATTTATCAACATGATATATAATGATATTTGAAACATGATAGCAGAAAACGTTATATTGAACCTTTTAGGCATGACCATAAAGGATATCATTCTACAGAAACAAATACATGTATATTAAAAGGTATTAAAGAACGGTGCATTCGTTATTTTATAGATACACGAGAGTTTTCATTAGCTGAAATGTTTTTTTTTTTGTTTTTGTTTTTGTTTTCAAATAAGATGCTTCCTTTTACATGTGCATCGTGTTTTCAATTTTTTTTCCTGTGGTTTCACTTGTAAGTTCGAATTCATGATATTTTATACCTTCTTTTTATCATTAAATCTTTTCTCTCAATAAACCTTTTCAGGTTTTCCAATCTACGTGCTCCGTAGACATCACATATTTTCCATTTGATACTCAAGAATGCAAATTAAAGTTTGTGGCTTGGAGTTATTCAACGTATGAGGTAAAACAATATTTTAGACCAACTTTTTTGCACATCTGACTGTTTCAACTACCTGTGTATTTTTAATGAACATCAGAACTCTCTGCAGTAGCTATGGTTTTAACCTTTAAGCTGATTGGGCCAAACGTGATTAACCATTGCGACAAGTATAGAGCCGCCTAGCCGGCCTGCACACCCGTACAGTCTGACCAGGCCTGAAAATATATAATATAAATTAATGGTTACAAAAACTATGTAAAATGGAAATATTTATGCAGCAAATTCAGCAGGTAAAACGTTAATGTTTCCTGGAAATATTACTGTGACCTTCAACGGAAAGGTAAAAGATACAAGCACTACCGAGTCACTGAAAGCTAGGGTTAATGATTGTCATGAATGCTTAATAAGGTCATCCTTCTCTTAACGACACTCAAGTTCTAATCAAAACGTTGAATCATGTTGTCTTTAGATAAAATATTGAAAATGTGGGTAGAATCTGAAATTGGTAAAACTAGCCTAAAGAATGGTTTTCAAGTTTGATGTGTTAAGCGCGCCTGTCAGGTTTTGCATAACTGACTTTACTAAAGTGATATATAATTTGTATGGTTGTATTCTAGGTTAATATGGACAGTGGAGACAAAGGGATAGAGTTGGAAGAGTATGAATCAAACTCAGAATGGGACGTCATTAACACAAGTTACTCGGTGAACTGGGAATCCGCGGAGTCTTCTGTTGTATTCAGCATCAAAATCAAAAGAAAACCACTTTATGTCCTTCTCTCAGTGATCATGCCAATAATTATGTTGGCAGTTTTGAACATTTTTGTATTTGTCCTACCTTGTGATAGTGGCGAAAAAGCTAGTTATTCTATAACAGTCTTCTTAGCTTTTGCGGTATTTCTGTCTATAATTTCTGCAACCTTTCCGGAAAACTCCGAAGTGGTCGCTTTATTTTCTGTCTATCTTATTATCCAGACGCTACAGAGTACAGTAATTACACTCATTGCTCTAGCTCTTACTCGATATGCTTCGTTCGATGGTCTAGGAACACCTGTACCTCATCAACTAAAAGTTTTTCTTAATGTCATCACCTGCAAAACCTGCTGCGCGAAATACATTCGTAAAAATCAGGTTACTGATATTGAAATTAATGCTGAAAAGGCTACAAAAAAGTCAAATGGGAAGTTAGACAACAAACACTTTATTCTGAAGAAAAATGAGCAGAATAGTGATCACCAATCTAGATTTAATACCTGGAAAGAAGTTGTTAACAAGCTTGACGTTATATTCTTTGTTTTCTTCACTTGTGTTCTCATTATCCCCACTCTTCTCTTCTTTGTCATATCTGCCACAAAATAATTGAAGATTTTTTAATATACTATCTAATGATTCAAGTATTTTAACATATTTTCTACTTTTTTATATCTGAAACAAAATGAGTTAACGTTTTAATACATTTGTTACTGTTTCATAAAGTCAAAATTGTTTAATGTTTTTAAACTCATGACAACATTCTTTGTCCAGAATCAAAAATGATAATCAAGATTCGTATTTGAAGTTACTGACGAACTCCTGAATTGTTGAAAGCGTATGTTGAAATATATCGTAGCCTTTAAATAAAAGAACAAAAGAGCAAATATAAATTGAATATAAAGTTTAAAAATAGATTATCGTTTATCATTTTAGTGATTAACCTGTCCGTGCCCTGTCCTATTTTTGTTTGGGGTCCGCCTGGGCTCTTGCCGCTAGTTCTTGTTGCTGCGTCGTGTGGGGGTTGAGTTCATTGAACGCCGCCTTTCCTTGTTGATCTTGTTTATCATATTTTACATTTGAAAGGTCCTTATTCGGGAACTATATTAGTTTTTTCCCCGATCTTCTACTAATGAACATCAGGTTTTTGTATGTATATAGCAAAAAAGAAAACAATTGGCGTGCCGTCACAATATGATCGACGTCGCAGTAAAATATACCAAACGCGTGTTTCTTTTGACCCACTTGAATACTTATAACTTGAGTTTAAATACACGTATCAACATGAAAAAAGTGCAAATTTAAGTTCAGCCAAATATCTAAAAACTGATAAAACAATGAATTTAATCAGATTCGTGCTGCTAAAAAAAAACATAAAATAAAACGATAAAAACATGAAAAAAATCAATCTTGACACCATGTCTTTTGCAATTTGCCGAAAGTTAGGAACCATGTCCAATAGCATTTATGGGGTACCTTCCACTTGTGTACCTGCTCGTGACGACATGAAGCGGACCGTCTTCCTTACGATTTGCCATAATGCCGGCAAATAAACACATCAGAATATCCGATTCCTGTATAGATATTGAATTACTTAATATGGTGTAATGAAGTATTTTACGATAACATATGCGCAATATTAAAATTTAAAATATACAATACATGTATATATTCCATAGATATACGTTAACATGCTTTTTCGTTTAAAGGAACACCATTTTCTGCGTCTAAAATACAAAAAAAAAAAACAAAAACAAAAATACACAAACAAAAACAAACAACAACAACAAATAAAAAAACAACAACAACAAAAATAAAACAAAAAAACCCCCAAAAAAACAACTGACTCTATTTCCAAAATAATTGTCAAAACGGTATGACATTTTATGTATGTAATTGAAACTGATATTTTGCTGGTGAAATAAATTCTATATATTGTACATGTTTGTATTTTATTTTGGTATTGTGAATACTTTTAAGCCGATGTACACGTGTGTTATCAAAGCAGAATACTATTAAGATGAGAATTTATAGCAAGCAAACTGAATTCATTCAGTTTAAAACTTCTTCCTACTTTTCATTTTCAAATATCATATTTGTATAATTTCAAAGACAGGAAGCGAGAAACAAGCATAATTAAATGAAAAAATTTACGAAATAGGACAGGCAATAAAATCGTTCGGCCATTGTAAACATTAAATTTCGTTCGACCATTGTACTCGTTTTTGTAAAAAGATGCACAACTTCGTTATGAAACTTTACAAAGGATGATATTGTTCATGACGGACAAACTTGCAATTGTGTAAAAGATGTCAATGCTAATTTTGCTCAAAATGCTTTTCTTTTACTGAAAACAACGCATTTTAGTACATGTGAGCCCACTGTACTCATCACCTAAACAAGTTTTTCGACTTTCAGGCCTTAACAGATAGAGCTACAAAGTAACCAACGTGGTTTTTGTATTTTCTGATCGCAAGATCAGTAAATACATAGCTAACATCCACGGTCTAACACAAATTTTCCTAACAGACCTAACAACGCAAAGTAGTTCTCACTCAGAACTGCTTAAAAACCAGCAATTTAAAATAAAGAATAATTTTTAATGTATGCATTTAACGAATTACAGTGCATTAAAAGTTTAGAGTAGTCAATAGAAATATGAGGTTACAATCACAAATTTCGCGTATGAATATCTTTTTTACCCAATGAAAAATGTTCGGCTATTTCCGTAAAGCTTCGGATTATCATGAATATCATTTTAATCAATGAAAATGCTATTTTAGCTATGTCGATTACCGAATACTCCAGAGCGTAGTACACAATCGAGTAGTGGAATATATACATGTCGGACTGTTTTGGCGAGAAGATTTTCGCTAAATTAGTGTTAAACAACAGGTTTATCGTGAACAAAATACCTCGAAATTAATAAGGATTGCAAACACGAAATGGAAATTCTCAATTTAGAATTACATAATGTATTCGTTTTTATTCAAGGTACATATGTATTACTTCGCCGTGGTGCAGAGGTAAGCGGTCTCGTTGAGGGTGTGAGAGGCCTATGGCTCAAATCCTAGTCGAGGCAATTCTATTTTTTTTTCATGCAAAATTCCATATGTATCAATCTCAAACTGTTATAGAAGAAAATCAAAACGCTGTCGCTGCGTAAGATGAATTATAGTATATAAAAATAAACTTATACAGGAAAGTACATACAGATAGTCAGTATGATTTAGATTGCAAAGATCAGAAAATACCATAGAGCTGCAGCCCTTTGATTATACAGGGGTTCCGTGCGACCTAGTTTTACATATATATATATAATATTAACTGTATGCTTACCTCAATTTCACTGCTTTTACCGAGCGTTTAAGCCGCCTTTTTATGAGCCCATTGTACGATTTTGGTCACGTGATCATCCGCAGAGTATATATCAAAGCGGGATAAAATTTTTGCAAGGGAAGGGAAACAACACGCACTATTAACACTTGCAGAGTTTTCGCCCCGACAACACATTCCTGATTATTGTGCACAATGATAATGTTATTTACATATAATTACCAAATACATGTTTTATTCTAATATGATTGACATATATTAGGAAATCACGTGTCTTACTTTAACACTATTTGATATCAAACGACTATAATTTTGTTGTTATAATTTTAATGTCGAATAAAAGTTAGGTTATGTTATGTTATGTTAGATAAAAAAAACACGCTAATCAGCGGGGAGCAGATTAAATTGTAAAATGGCGGGCTGTGAAGCGAAATACAACATGTATTTATTGATACGTGACGCTAATGAGCATCGCGTTCATACCATAGGTTTGTCTTGAATAAACTGATATTTAGAATAAACCAGAGAAGGGAACAATTATATTAAAACGTTGCATATGTGTTTAACATATTATCATTTTCCGGGTATGTATGAGATGGGTCACCGTGTAGAGAAGTATATGAAGGTTAATGAAGTATTGTAAGTTAAGTACGAGTATTCTACAGACGGCATCAATACATGAATCGTAAAGTTTGTTAATTGAAGTGACCTATATACTCGGACTGCATGAAAGTTTCACAAGCTTTACGTTTTATATTAGTCTAATGAGGTATTTGCTAGTAAAAATTTTGCGCAAGAACAATGGACAGGAATTGGTGATAAACAAATAAGGTATGTGAATGTGAGACTGACAAAATGCACACATAAAATAAAGAAAATATGAGAACAAGAGTGTGCTAATATCATTAAGTAATTAATGTGCAGTAAGGATTAAAAGGGACATTGTTGAAGATTTTATAGAATCAAGTTATTTTTTGTTTGAAACGGTAGCCCATTGTATTTACCTCACTTGCACATTTGAAAAAAGGTATTTTCAGCATTTGATAACTTTTATTCCAACAAATTCACAAAGTTCAACTGTAACTGTCTATTTCTAGTCGAGTGTAACGAAGTCTGACAAAGTTTAAACAATCAGCACATGTATAATGAGTTTTAACTTTAGTCTCTTATAATACACATAACAAAGCTTTTATCACATATCTAAAAATTTAATAACTGCAGCCAATAGCAGTGCCCCTATGCCCAGTCCAGTAAGTATCGTCTTTACTACTGCAAATGACGACCTATTATACCATCTACCGCCCGGCTCACCTCTAACTTTAATGTCGTTACCGTCACATTTTGACGTTAGACGAAAATAAGGAACACTTGTTGTCTGCACGACCGGAATTTTACGACATTTATCAAGTCTTTCCAAATGGCGAAATACCCAAAGTCTTCTGTTATCCCACGTGATCCAGCGTCCGTTGTATTTTGTGACCGTGATAGAGTCGATATCATATATTGAAAGCCTGTTAAAAAACGAAATTGAAGTTATTGTTTTTTCTATGTTACGTTAACTGCCAATTTGTTTGTGTGTAATAATTTTCCTTCATACTGTTAAATTTTTCCCTCGCTATATAGCTGTATATTGCTATACGTAGACGAGTTGCTAACTGCGTATCAAATGACATGAAGCTATCTAGAAGGCAACGGTGTCACACAAAAACGTTTTTGTTATAACGACCTAAACTCAATTATATACTCATTTTACTACATAGATTTAGTAATAAGATGAGTTGTGTTTCACGAAGTTTTTGTTTGTGTGTGAAACTTGGGCCAGTAATTCAGATGTCCGCCTGTGTCTGATATTATGCAGAGTTGCTTAGTGATCTTTACAACGACGTTTTGACTATTATAAATTATTTAACAAATATACACTGGTATAAATGTTATAATTGTATCAAGCTATATATCTGCCGCCTGCATTTTACAAAATTTGGTTCTAATTTTGAAAAGAATAATTCCAAAATACATCTATGAAAGAAGTATGTTGATATGGTTTTCTTATGATCGAATGATGTACAAACTAATTGCTTAAAGGTTAGACTCCTACTTAAAATATCAACATCATTTTATGTTCAGGAACATTTTATTTGCTCTGTTTACGTACATTACTGTTTTAAATAACTCTTTCGAAAATCAATCATGAAGTTATGAATACAACATAATTTTACCGTTTTGACATTTTGTAAACATAATTAAACATACCATAAAACATTTTAATCGTTAAGATTACCTACCTCCCTTCTCATAAATCATCCGAAGTCTCGCCT